GCCAGATAATATTTCTAAGTCTCTCTTTAGCTGGCTTGAAAGAAATAAAGATAATTATTCATTCAGGCTTTGAAGGATCCGGGATCTCACTAAGGTACTTCTGCTAGTGAAACCATATGCAGGAGGGTTGTCCATTTCCTTCCATAAATCTTCCATGAAGGATCTTCCAAATATACTGGAAATTTGAATATGCATACATTTTATTTTTTAAAATAGACATACATTTTAAGAAGGCTGTGAGGAGTAATTTTTAAATAGTTGACTATAAAGCAACAAGACTTACTTCCATCAGCCACCCAAGAACATCAGTCTCAGTACTTCACACACAGGCTTTGCCTTTTGAGGTCGTGATTATAAACAGACCATGTAAAACAATTTAAAATACTTAGGTATCCATTTGATATAAATAAAACAGATTAGAAAGTGTGACTTTGGCTATGAAAGAATTTTAGTTCAGGTTTGGGTTAAATATCCTAGAGAAAGAAATCAAAATGAACGTTTGACATACTTAACACCAAAATTTTTCTTGGCTTAATGTAATAGCTATAGTTTGTTATTGTTGGGTTTTTTTTTCTTTCCCTTTTTTCATATGTTTAGTTAGAGATGGAAGGACCCGGAGAGATCGGCAAGTCCAATCTTTTCATTGAGGGACTTCAGGCCCAGGTAGGGGGAAAGTGACTGGCCTAAGGTTATAAGGGGAGTGAGAGCGCTATGCTGGTGCCATTGTAAATGGCCAGGAAGACTGAGAGAAAGAAGCCGGTTGAAAAATGATTGTACTTTTTTGCTTCCTAGGAGCTTTAATATTCTGCACCTAAAGACAGTGATTAAGAATGCTTTCATTTGGATTCTCTGATAATAAAAATGCTTCTTAAAGCTCACTTTCAACCAGTGTATCACTACATTTACAATTTATACAATCAACACTGTTATCATATTCATTTGCACAAAAATCTAAAGTAATTTCATGCATCAAATCTTTCCCCCACCCCCAATCCTGTGGCATTGTGAGCAGAATGCTGGACTTGGGGAGTTAGGAGACCCGAGTCTGAATCTCAACTCTAATGGTTTACTAGCTAGGCAAATCACTTAACCTTCCTATATTTCAAGTTTCCTCATCTATAAAATGAGGTAACCTTTGTGCCTCATATCTCAAGGGAGAAACTTTGTTAAAGTGCTTTGTACTTGGATGGCTCCAGGCTTTTGCCGGGGTAGTGGTCCCTCCACTGAAGCAAATTGTAACCCCTCTGCACTTTGATAAATAGCCTTCCTGGGCTCTTCCACCTGAAAACTTCACAACCTTGAGGCCAATCTAGAGTGATGCACCTCTGACCTTGCCCAGGCAAATCCTCTGACAGACATCTAGTCCGTCACCAAACCCATATCTGTCACCTTCCACCTGCCAGACCTTGTTCTCCACTGGAATACCTTCTATAACGCCAGGGTCACCTCTGCACTCTAAGAGAGTATTAATGCTATAGATTTGAGCTACAAGGTACCTCTGGAAAACATGGGTTTGTATTCACTTCATCAAAACCAATCACTTTTGCAAGAAACAATCTTCACATCTTGTAAATCTTGTGAATTTTAGAAGATGCCATTTAAATAAATGCATTTGGATTACCAAAAAGAAATGAGCCTCAAAAGTATTAAAAAGGTGTGGCCAGCTATAGCAACACAGATTGCTAAAGCAAATTCGGACTGCATTACAGAGGAATGGTGTCCAGGTCTGGACAAATGAGTGTTCCATATTCCACCCTGGCTTGACCACATATGGTTTGCCTCTGGGTACTACATTTTAGGAAGGATATTGATGAACTAGTGCATAAGAAGACAACCAGAAGAGTAAAAGGCTTTAAATCTATGCCACATGAGGCTCAGTTGAGAAAACTGATAGCTGTCTTCAATTTGGAAGATGATTAGACTTGTTTTGCCTGACCTTAGAGGAGAGAACTAAGAAAAATGCATAGAAGCTGAAAAGAGGCAAATTGAAGCTTGATAAAAGGGGAAGGAAAAAAAACCCAACCTACAACCTAGACCTATCCCCAAATGAAAAGGCCTGCCTTGAGAGAACAAAGGATCCTATACCTAGGGCTGGAAGGAATCTCAGAGGACAGCTAGCTCCACCCTGTTGCTTTACAGATGAGGAAACTGAGGCCCAGGGAGGTGATATAACTTGCCCAAGATCACACAGGTGGTAAATATCAGAAGTGAGGTTTGAACCCACATCCACTGACTCCAGAGTTTGTGCTCATTTTTCCATTCTCCACTGAGATGGGAGGTTCCCCATCAACAGGAGTATGTGGTCTAGCCAAGGTCAGATGACCACTTGGTGGGTATCATTTAGAAGGACTACTTCAAATACAGGCTGGACTACAATGGCCTCTAAGGTCCCTTCCAACTCAGATTCTGTGATTCTATGAAATCTATTGAAGCTTCAACACGAATACGATTGTGAGTCTTCTCATTTTATCCTCTGACAACTGAGTTCAGATTTTTCTCAATTGGAAAAATGCATTTCATTAAAAAAGAAAAAAAAATCTGCAAGCAAGAGTCAGTAGACACTGCCTACAAACTTCTGCTAAATGACCTTTTTCTCAACAGGTGAACCTGGGGATGTCAGAGCACTGGTACGCAGAGGAAGATTTAAATGTGAAATCCTTCCACAAATGCTTCAGTGAGAAATCCAGTGGCATACCACTGGAATTGCAGCTATCTCCAAACTGTCTCTTGACAACAACTCTCTTGCTGTTTACAAAAGCTGAGTTCCCAAGAAATTGTGTTCAAATCAAAATCATTTAAAATCTACCCGAGAAGCCCTGCCCCAAATCCTTTGGTTTACTAGAGATCATTTTGCCACGCTAAGTATCACCCTTTAATTGATCTAGTTTCATACATCTGCTTTGTGCATACTAGTTTCCTTAAATTAAATTCATAAGGGGAAAGCACTCCTGCTAGGTGTACCTAAAAAAAGAGGTACATGTCCTCAAAAGGACCTGACATGTTCTACCTGACCAAACAGTACTAATCACAACAGCATGCCACAAGTCAAACAAAGCTAAAACCATAAGCAAAGTGGCTTTCTATTATAAAAACTGCTGGATTCCATCCATGCCCCCTCCTTAGAAAATTTTGTAAACCAGAGAAAGCAAGACAAACGAAAGCTACTTGAAAAATCACATCTTGATAATGTGGCATAGTACAAAGAGTGCCAGATGGGGTCAGGAAAGACTCTGGCTCCAATCCCACCTGACACTTACTAGCTGAGTGACCACAGGCAAGCTTCTTAAAGTCTCTCAGTCTGTCTCCTCATCTGTAAAATGGGGGAAAAAACACGCAGAGTGGCCCACTGGAAAGAGCATTAGATTAGGGTCAGAGGACATGGATTCAAATAGTGGCTCTGTCATTCACTACCCTTTCAGGGTTGGGCAAATCATTACCTGTCTGGGCCTCAGTTTCCACATCTGTTGAGATGAAGTGGTTGGACTAAATAATCTCTAAGATGCTTTCAGGCCTAAGTGATCTTACCTTGAGTAGCTACCTCAAAGAGTTATTGTGAGGAACAAATGAGATAATTTATGTATAGTGCTTTATAAACCTTAAAGCCACATATGTATTAGTGTAAGTATATATGTGCATGTGTATACGCCTATCATATCACCTATTAAGTGACTGATTGTGATGTCGTAACACCAAAAAGAACACAAGCCCTTTTCCAATTATCCACATTGATCCACTGGCAAGCCAGGCTTTCAAGTTTGACGCTGCCTTCTCTGCTCTATTGACATCTCAACATCTCCTACTTCCTTCTATTTACTTTACATGCAGCCTGCAGGGAAGCCGTTTGAAATCTAAACCCTTAACCATCTTTCCTTTTGCAGGATGAGCCAAAGAGAACAGTTCATAGACTGATGCCTGGGAGAAGAATAATCTATTGCCAGCAAGCACGGAGTATGCTGAGCCAGGAGGGCAGCATAGGAAAACTAGAAAGCCTGAGTGAGGTCTTCCCAGCGTAGCTTCGTTATTTTGTTTGAAGTTAATTCCCAGATGACCTGTCTGTATACTCAATCATAAGACCACCTACATGTAGGGTTTATACTGTATTAACTTTTCAAATAGCATCCCATATTTCATTTGATCCACACATCTGAGATAGATGGGGGGGGAAATCACCACTTTTACAGATGAGGCAACTGAGGCACAGAGCAATTATGCCACTTTCCCAAAACCACACCATTAAATATTGGCAAAGAAAGAATTTTAAAAGAAAAAAACAAAACAAAAGCCCCTCAAGGCCTTCTGACTCCCAGTCCTGTATAAAACACACATTCCACAGCAGAAAAATCAAATTGATTACCTGATTACCCACATTTCCTCCTCTCCCAATGACAATAATTAGGATTTTACTGTATTTATAAGCCATAGGAGAAAATAGAACAATCACTTGTCATCATGAATCTTTCAAATGAGAAGTTAGCCACTCAAAATCAATAATCAATCAATCAACATCTATTAAACATGTGCCAGACGCTGTGCTAAATACAGTTGATTATTGCTCAATAATATTAAGCCTTATTAAATCGCTACGAATACTTGAAACATGAAGATCAAAAGAAAAACACAGAATTCAGCATTTTAAAACCGAAAATAGTTTCTAAAACTGGGGGGGGGTTGCACTTAATAGTAAGAAGATGCAAGAAAACATCACGACTCCAAGTTTTAACTACTTAAAATAAGGTACAAGCATGCAGAGAATCTAGGCCTTCATATTCTAATATTATTCCAAGTTAAAATAGAAATTTTAATAAAGATTCAAGCTGCTAAATGAATACTCAAACCTGAATTCAACCTTCTCTTAATGACAAAAATCACCAGCATATAGCCCACATACCCCAAATATCTCTGAGACAGGCTAAATTCCTCTACTATAACATCAATTCAATAGTAAAATTGCCAAATACTACTATGAGCACTTCCACAAAAATAATTCAAAAGTCACAAACCTTTTTTCGCAGAAGTACACTTGAAGATATCATCTTTGGAGAAGTCAATGCTTACGTAAGTGCCACTGTCCAAAGCTGAAGCACCATTCTCCTGCTGAGAATTTGGAGCAGCTGCGCCGGCCTCACTTGTAGCAGCAGCATCACGTAAATTCAGGGCGATGTAGTTTAGGCCATTCTGAAAGCCAGCTGAAGTGACCCTGGACATCTTCATCTCCTCAGAATCAGAAGCACCTTCACCAGATTTGAACCAGATGCTGTCAAAGGATGCAGAACTCTGCCTTCTGCTATCAGAAAAGAGAGATGAAGGTGTGGCTACGGCTCCTGCAGGAGAGAAAGTTTCAGAACTGTGGCGTCTTCTGCCTTGTGGGTCAGCTCTGACCATCCTCGGTACAACCGATGGTTCAGGACTGAAATCAGGAAGGGAGAAAGTGCTGCCCTCAGGAGATGTGTCGGCAATACGAAGTCGATTTACAGCAGAGGAAGGGCTATCAATTTTGACAGGATCGTTGCTTTGGGCAGTAAAAGGCACAGTTGTTACTGCTGGGTTGAAAGACATTTCAGTGTAATCATCATCCCCATTAGTTGGGGTACTAATGCGGGCAGCAGCACCAAGTGGTCGTCTAGCACAGTCCACAGTTAGCTGGTTTCGAGGGACATTGGAACCTGAAATTGTTAAGGAATTGGCTAGCTCCTTTGCAGCTTTTGGTGAGTTAACATCAATAGCAAAACTCATGTAATCAGAATAGGGTGACTGTGTGTGGTCACCGCCTGAGCCGAATGAAGATGGGGAGCATTCAGCAGAGAGCGAATATGGTGTACTGCTTGCTTTTCTGCTGAAGTCAATGTTGATGTACTCACCAGGGCTGTCCCCTTCGATGGCACGCTCATATATTCTTGGAATACTGAATACTGCTTCCTCTTGTGCCAAGGGGAAGTTTGGTAGGTCGAGCAGCCTTCCTCTGTGGGAATCCCCCGTCTGAAGCTTTTAAAGCTGGAGCTTTAGAAATGTCCTTAGGTGGCAAGGCTTCGTTGTTAGCCCTTGGGACATTCTCAGAGACGGTGCTTAAGAGTCTTCCAGGCGATGCCATCGGGACATAGTCGCTGTCGTCACTCTGTTCGGTTATGGTTCTGAAACTTTTTGGCAGAGAGAAGAGCGAACTTAGACTCTTGGAGAAAGAGGGAGGGTGAAGAGAATTTGCCTCGTGGGAGTGCTTTGGAGCTATCGGATTCCTGGGGGGACATGTCCATGTATTCATTATCATCGTCTTTATTACTTGCTCCCTTAGAAGCGAATCCTCCGCGAGCATTTCGGCCAGGTGACACGCTAGCTCTTGGGAACATCATCATGTATCCTCGAGAGTCCTTTTGAGAGGATGACCAGGAACTGTTGTGTTTTGAGGCAGAAGCACTTTTAGGAGCCATTGGCAAGTAATCGCTGTTGCTTTTGAGAGCAGCAGCAACTCCTGGCATCATAGGCATGTAGCCTTCATCCTCAGCTTTGTTTCTGCTTTGGTTCCGATTGGACCCATTCTCACCATACTCCAGTTTGGGAGTCTCTCTTGGCCGTGGCGACTCAGAAGAAAATAACAGTCTCGGATTTCCAGCAGAATCCTCATCGAAAGGAGTAGTTTGCGTGGTTTTTTGTTGCATGGTTACTAAAGCTGCTGGCTTAGGCAGGGAGAAAGTTCTTTTCTTAAAGTACTTCTCAGCTTCCATATGATCACCACCGGCACTTTCATTTGCGCGCTGTTTATTCATCGACATGTACTCACTGAAACAGTGCTCTTCTCGGATGGGTGGTGTGTTTCCCAGGGAATCCGGGGTATTGCTTCTCACTCGGAAATACCTCATGTCTCCAGGGCTGGAGCCGTATTCATCAGAGGAGACAAAGCTTCCATCACCCGGGGACCCACACATAGAGCTCGAAGGCCTGGCCACGGTATCTGGGGCTGGGCTGGTCCCGGAGGGAAAGGGAGACACGGGCAGGGAGGCAGAGCGAGCATGACAGCAAGCATTGAAAGCAGCACGAACGTACCTGCCACTTTCGGGTCGGGCCATATTCATTCGGCCGGGGTTCAGCTGCATCAGGCTTCCGGTGACCGTTCTGAAGGGTCTGTCCATGGTGCCTTCACCCTCGCTGGAGGTACGGAATCGGTAGGTGTTGCCCTTGCAGGAGGGCGGGGTGCTGGCCACACTGTCGGTGCGGGACCTGCGGGACATACCGAGGCAGGGCTGCAGGTAGCCCAGGTGCCTCCTGGTGGAGAGGAAAGAGATGGGGTTGGTGCAGGACGACTGGCTCTTGCTCCGGGGCCTGAAGTCAGCAAAGGCCTTGAGGGCTTTCATGGTTTCCAGGAAGGTCTCGTGCATATGCTGAGCCACCACCGAGTCATCTACCTGCATCCAGATCTCCCCGGGGCCGATGGATGACGACCTGCCCACCTCGAGAAAGAAGAAGTGCTCCGAGTGGCCACATCGGCGGATGCTGAGCAGCTGCAGCTGCACGCACGCTGGGCACCTCTGCGTTCAGGCGCACCAGGTGCACCTCCTTGCTGGACAGGCACAGGCGATAGATGCCGCTCAGGTTCTTGCTCTGGCCCAGCCCCTTGGGTTTCACATGCACCTGCCACACCTCCTTGAAGACTCCCTCCTCGTCTTCCTCCTCACCTACAGCGGCTCCGGCACCGCCGCCGCCGGCGGCACCCCCCTCATCGGTGGCCGCGCCGTCGCCGCCGCTTGTGCCGTCTTCGCCTTCCCCGGTGCCGGAGCTGCGCGTCTTGCTCTGGCCCATCAGGAGACTCAGCGCTTGGTACCAGCTCTCCTGCTCCTGCTCACTCTCGGCCACCATGGCGAAGTAGTCGTCCTTGGTGTAAAGGGCGATGAGGTGGCGGTGCTTGGCATCTGCGCGGCGGCTCACCGTGAAGCACTGGTACAGGGGGGATAACGCGCTTGGGCGGCACGGCTGGGGGCGCGCTCGCCGAGGCGCCCGCCGAGGGGCCGGCCGCGGCGGCGGCGGCCGCGGCCGCGGCAGCGGCGCGGAGGCTGCTGCGGAACTTCTTCTCGCTCTCGTAGTACTCTAGGCGCGCCGGGGCCAGGCGGCTGGCCGTTCGCAGCACGAAGTAGCGCTTGTGGCCGTGCTTCTGCTTCCGCAGGTAGCCGCATTTGCGGACATCCTCTCCAGCCGCCTGCAGCAGCTGCGTTAGGCCCGGGTCCCCGCGATCCGGGGAGCAGCAGCGGGCGCCGTCCTCTGCGCCCCTCCACATACCGCCGATGCCTCTGGCTCTGCTGCCGCTGCCACCGATGTCCCCGCCGCCGCTGCCGCCGCCGCTGCCTGGGGAGGAGCCGAAGCTCGAGCCGGACCCGGAGCCCGAGCCGGAGCTCGAGCCGGAGCCGGAGCCGGAGCCGGAGCCGCCGGAGCTCGAGCCGGAGCCGCCGCCGCTGCTTCTGCTTCTGCCGCTACTGCTGGTGATGGTGATGGTGATGGTGGTGGTGGTGGTGCTGCTGCTGCTGCTGTTGCCGCTCCCGCTCCCACTGCCACCGGGCACTAAGGCTTCTCAGCCTCAGTCTCTGGCTCCAGCCGCCACCTCCTTACCCCTCGCTCCCCAGCGGCGGAGTAACTCGCCATGGGGCTGCAGGCTCTTTTTAAGGGGCCCGGCGGGGCGGAGGGGGCGGGGGGAGGAGGACGAGGGGAGAAGGGTCGCTCCCGCCGCACGTCTCACCCCCTCCCCCGCCCACTACACACAGAGCTCGGCAGCAGGCAAAACAACACGTGACCGCGGACTCACGCGGCGGTGGCGGCGGCGGCTCCAGCCACTCGCGCGCCGCTGCTGCCACCTCCCGCGGAGGTGTATATGTATGTATGTACGTACGTGTGTGTCGGGGTCGGGGTGTGTGTGTAAGTGTGAGTGTGCAAGTGTGTAAGTGTGTGAAAGTAAAGCAAGTGACGGAGGGGCGGTCCCCAGTCCCCCCTTTGTCCCCCCCCCTCCGCCCAGTACTAGCTCTCCTGGCCAACCGAGGCCCGGGAAACGGCGGAAGGAGGTGGGGCTCCCCAGTCACGCCGGCCCGAGCTGGTTGCTGCAAAGAGCTCGAGGGGGCGGGAGCTGTCTCAGGCCGGGGAGGGGAAAGGAGGGGGGGGAGACTGCTCCCCGATTGGCTGGAGTGGGCGGGGCTGGGCGGGGCGCCGAGGTGGGGGCTACGGAGTGGGCGTGTGTGTATGTATGGAGGGGGGCGGTGTATATGTGTGTGTATGTATGTATGTATATATGTGTATGTGTGTGTGGAGGGGGATGGTGGGTGTGTCTGTGTGTTGAGGGAGGGGAGAGTGGGGGGGGCGGCCCGAACGGTCTCTGGCTCGCCTCTGTTGGTTTGTTTGTTAGACGAGGCGAAGCCAGGTGAAGCCCCTGCCGCCTCTGATAGGCCGGCCGAGGGACCAATGGCAGCTTTCGCTGGGGAGGTGGCGAGCGGGCCCGCTGGAGGAGAGAAAGGGTGTGGCCAGAGGGAAGGGAAGGGCCGGACCGGGAGAGAGTGGGATCCTCCCAGGCAGGTTCTTAGCGCTAAGGACCCGTTTACAGCTGTGTGCACACACATGGGCAAGCCTGTTCTGTTCCCCCCCACCCCGAAACACACAGAGGCCCCTCAAGTACCCCGCAGGGTGGATGCATCGCCTGGTCCCCGTCTCTTACCCCTTCTCCGCCCCGCCCCGCCCCTATGTAGGATTGGGCGTACGATTCGGGTGTACCACTCGCTGCTCGGAGCCACCCCAAAGAGGGAACGGTAACGAGATCTTTGATCCTCTGTACCCCAACCTCATGTCCACCGAAACCCCACAAACTCGCTTGATACTACATCTCAGCTGGAGGAAGCAGGCACGAAGTTGTTTACATTGAAGCAAAGGGAACTTTTCCAGCATGGATGCATGCCTGCATATAGAGGGAGACACAGGTTAGCGGAGGGACTGAGCTCTGGGTGTATGGATTCAGGATCGCAGTGTGAGAGCACAAATGAGGGAGTCCCCAAATCCTACAGCCATGTTGAAAAATGGGGCTGTGATCTTCAGCAGGCTTAAGCGATCACATCTGCCAGTGGGAAGATGATGAATGCCAGGGAAATTACCTTTAAAAGAATCCCTACATGAGACAGTCCCCTTTCCTTGAGTGAAACTGAGGCACTTGTCTTTTTAAAAAGAGACTGATAACAAGAACAAATGAGAGTACTTAGAGTGTATTCGACATTCCCGATATCAAGAAAATCTGAAGCTTGGACTTGAAAGGGCCCTCAGAGGCCGAGTAGTCCAAACTGTACCTAAGAAAGAATTCCTTTTCGAAGATGCCAAGAAGTGGTCATTTAGCATCCACTTGACATTCTCCGGTAAAAACAATCCTCTGCCTCTCAAGGCAAGCCCATCCTTCTTTGGGCCAGCAGCAATTGTTAATTGTTAGAATGTGTATTTATTAAATGTCTATGTGTCAGACACAGTACTAGGCACTACAAATAACATGTAAACATTAAAATGGAACATATATTTACTTGTTAAAAAGGGGACTGCTTTGTGGAGGGAATGAATAAGGGAGAAGAGACAAAAAAATAAACAGAAGAAGACTCAGAAGGGAGCACAGGGCAAATTTTTTTTTATTATGTGTTAAAGCTAACATACACTTACACAAAACTATATATGGCAGAAGATGACTGCTTCATATATAACCCTCTTTTTGTCTTTTATTAGAATGTGACTATTGATGATTAAGATGACAATAAAAAAGAACAACATTGAAAATTCAAACAGTCCCTGATGTTCAGCGGTGTACATTTTACTGAGTTGAAACAGCATGTTCCTAGGTGAATTAATACAAAATCTGTACAAAGTGAAGCCATTTTCTGGGGCAGAGGAGTGAACTAACTAGGGGGAGGGGATCGGACAAGACCTCTTGTAGGAGGTAGCACTTGAGCTAAGCCTTGGAGGGAGCTAGTCTCTGTGAGAGAGAGGTGAGGGGTGAGCACATTTCAGGCATGGGGAAACATCTTGTGTAAAGTCATGGAGGTAGAAAAAAAAGTATATCATGTAGAGGAAATAGCATATAGCCCAGTTTGGCTGGTATTTGGGGGGCGTGAGAGAGGAGGGATAATATGAAATCAGTGTAGAAATATAAATTTGGGCCAGATTATGGAAGCTTTTAAACTCCAGCTTCCTAGAGGTAAAAGGGAACCACTGAAATTTCTTGAGCAGGGATGTGACATGTTCAGATCTGTCTTTTGGAAAGATCATTCTGGCATTTGTGTGGAGGGTGGACTGGGAAAGGGAGAGATCGAATACTAGGAGGCTACAGTTCAGGTGACAGATGGTAAGGACCAGAACTAGAGTGGTAGTTGAAATGAATGGAGGTAAGGGGAGTGAGAGGAGAGATGTCTTTGTAGAATAAAGGAGACTCAGTAACTGAGTGACTGGGGTGGAGTGGAGGGAGAGAGGGAGGGAGGGTGAGTAGCTTCAGTACCTAAAGACCAGTTGCTAAGATTTGAGCCTAGCTCTTGGAATTCTAGAGCCTTTTCCCTCTCTACCACACCACCCTGCTTCAGCCTAGTGATGAGTTCAAAGAAGAGCATCACTAGAAAGTGGCTACCATATAACAGTTGTAAAGAAGGAAGTGACTGTTCTGATGAAGTCACAGATCCTGGGACTTAAATGTTAACTTGAGGTTCCCTGAAGATCTCAATCTTTTTGTCTTTACTAATATATTCAGCTATTTAAAGGACCTAAACTGCCCCCCCCATCCCACCCCTGCAAACTCCTATCCATTGCTTGTAGTATATCCTCTGGGGTCAAGGAGAGCAAGTGTAATTCTTACTGTTTCATGTGACAGCCCTTCAAATAGTTGAGGATATTAGCAAAGACAAAAAATATGGAGATCTTTGGGGAGCTTCAAGTTGACATCTCAATAGCAGATCTTCCTTCATTGGAGTGGGCACCTCTTCCTCCTGTGAAGATTTATAGGTGTTTTGATTTAGCAAGTGGCCTTGATGAGGAGTTGCTTTGGCAAAAACAAATGAACAACCTTACCTGATAGCCAAACTTTTGGTGATGTGCCTTTCTGCACTTGGATAGACTGGGGCAGTCATGGTATCGTGGAAAACACACAGGCTCCAGAGTCACCTGGGTTCACTAGCTGTGTGATCTTGCCAAGTCATTTTACTTCCCTGTGCTTCAGTTTCTTCCTCTGTAAATACCAAGCTTTAGGCTCTAGATCCTCTGTGTGACCTTGGTCAAGTTTCTTCACCTCTCTGAGCCTCAATTTCCCCTTCTTTAAAATGAGGGGATTGGACTAGCTGGTCTCTGAGGTCACTTCCAGCTCTAAATTTATAATTTTTATGATAGATAGACGGCATCCATATCAAAGTCTTTCCATCTTGGTAGAACCTGATAGAGTTTGTGCTTCACAGAAGTAGCCTTTGAAAAATTAGGATTACTTCCATACCATGGTGAGGCATCAGAAGAGTGCAATTTAAGACAATTAAAACTAGGGACCACTGTCTATCTTTATTTTGGAGAAAACTTACAAATTCTTTCCATTGCCAGAGTAAATGAAGCCCCTAACGGTCTAAAACATTGCAACACATTTTGTCTTCTATTAAGGTTGCATAGCCAGCTATCTAGTCTAGTTTGAAGCCAAAGTATCAAAATAGTGTCCAGATTTGTAGAAGGGAGTATTGCCTTTCAAAAGAATGGTACATCAAGTTTATAACAGTCCCACAGGGACATGTACAAAGAGTCCAAGCCTGTGGTTTTCTTTCTGCTCACTCCTCTCCTTTCACAGAATCTAGTTTATTACACATAGAAAGAGATTTTCAGAATTTACACCCATATTGTTCATTCCAAGGGAAGATTTTGATTTGAAGAGGTTACCCATATTTCTTTTATTTTCTTTTTGCAATATGTAAAGTGGAAGACTTTTATTTTTCTCATGTTTTTGTATGTTTACAACAGAATGTTTCACATCCAAAAAAATGTGCAGGGTTTTTTTTTTCAGTTTTAGATAGATAGATAGGTAGATATAGATAGATAGATAAATAGATATAGATATCATTAAGTCAATAAATATTTATTGTGCCTGCCATGTGCCAGGCACTGTGCTAAGTTCTGGGGATACAAAGAAAGGCAAAGGATAATTCCTGCCCTCCATGAGCTTACAATCTAATGGGGGAAGGTAACACATAAAAAAGAAGCTGAGAAGGGGGGAGGGGAAGGAGTGGAGGACCTTCTCCCTTTGGTGTAAATCAAAACTTGTTAAAAATTTAATGCTAACAAAATTAACAATTTGGGGTCTAATTTGTAATGAATTTTCATGCAGGTTTTAGCAGCAAATTAAATTTCTTGTACAGTGTAGATAT